TTAATAGCCAGAACCTGGAATCAACCTAAATGCCTTTCAACCAAAGAACGGATAAAGAAAACGTGGCACATTTACGCATTAGAGTACTACTCAGTGGTAAAAAACAATGACATTTTGAATTTTGCATACAAATGGATGGAATTAGAAAACGCTATCCTGAGTGAGGTAACCCATACCCCAAAAGATGAATATGGTATGTACTCACTCATAAGTGGATACTAGCTATAAACAAAGGACATTGAGCCTATAGTTCATGATCCTAGAGAAGATCCTATAGAAGAATCCTGTAAGTAATAAGGTGAACCTGTTGGGACCATTTGGAGTCCTGGCCTCCAGCTGTTCTCCCCTGCTAGTGACCTTTACTTGGCCTTCTGAGCTGAGCTGCTGAAAGCTGTGTCCAGCTCTGCTTCCTGAGCATGTGTGTCCTTGGCCTTGATTGAGGATCAGGGGGATGAGGTTTTTCACCTGTTGGCTCACCTGACTGTGTTGGGTATATAGGCTCTGTGGTGCTATTCAATAAAGGGCTTCTTTTGCAGGGACTAGAGGTGTGTGTGTGTGTGTATGTGTGTGTGTGTGTGTGTGTGTGTGTGTGTGTGTGTGTGTGTGTGTGTGTGTGTGATTAATCCTGACGTCCTTCGCTGGGGTTTCAGTTCCAGGTCGTGCAGGCGCGGCAAATAAAAACAGATACAGATCCACCTGGAAATTGGAAACAGGATTGCCTGACAAAAGTGGGAACCTGGGGCTACAGGGAGAAGAAGGATAGAAGGGGGAAAAGGATGGGAGAAGGGGAGGGTTGAAGAGAACTTGAGGGAATGGGATGGTCAAAATGGAGGAAGGACAGATATGAGAACAAGGAAAGAGATATTTTGATTGAGGGAGCCATTATAGGGCTAGCAGACTCCTGGCTCTAGAGAAATTCCCAGGAATCCACAAGGATTACCCCGGCTAAGACCCTAAGCAACAGAAGGGAAGTGGACCAATCTAGACTTGCCCTGTAGTTAGACCGATAAATATCGTTTTTTAAAGGTATTTTTTTAAAAATATTTATTTACTTACTTTTATGTATACAATATTCTGTCTGTGTGTATGCCTGCAGGCCAGAAGAGGACACCAGGCCCCATTACAGATGGTTGTGAGCCACCATGTGGTTGCTGGGAGTTGAACTCAGGACCTCTGGAAGAGCAGTCAGTGCTCTTAACTTCTGAGCCATCTCTCCAGCCCCGATAAATATCTTAAATATCACCATAGAACCTTCATCCAGCAACTGATGGAAACAGAGGCAGAGGCCCACATCGGAGGACTGGACTGAGATACCAAAGTCCAGCTGAGAAGTGAGAGGAGTGAGAATATGAGCAAAGAGGTCAAGACCATGATGCGTTCACCTGCTGAAACAGCTTGCCTGAGCTAATAGGAGCTCACCAACTCCAGCTGGAGTGGGAAGGAAGTAAGCATAGAACCAACCTAGTCAGTCTGAATGTGGTTGACAATTGAATTGTTGGGGCAGACTGAGTGGCCACTAGTAGTAACCCCAGGATTTATCCCTACTGCATGTACTGGCTTTTTGAGATTCTATTCTCTTTGTATGGATACCTTGCTTAGTCTAGATATAGTAGGGAAGGCCTTGGACCTTCCACAAATCAATGTGCCTTACCCTCTCTGAGGACTGAATAGGGGTGTGTTTGGAGGGTATGAGGAGGGAATGGGAGAAGACAAAAAAGTGGAAACTTGGATTGGTATTTTTTTAAAAAATCTAAAAATTAAAAAAATATGTATGTTGGATTAATCCAGCAACAAAATCAAGTGTCTTTTAGTAGAGCAGCTGTGGCTCCTTCCTCAGCATTCAAACAATTCAAAGAGAACATAACATACACTAACCAGATTCTCTGTTTTCCATATTTATATGGCTTTATTTTAAATTTAATTTCTTTTAGTTTTACTTTTAATTTTTGGCTTTTTGAGACAGGGTTTCTCTGTGAATCTTTGGCTATCCTGAAACTCACTCTGTAGACCAGGCTGTCCTTGAACTCACAGAGATCTGTCTGCTTCTGCCCCCCCCCCCCCCCCCAAGTGCTGGGATTAAAGGTGTGTGCCACCACATCTTGAACTCACTGAGATCTGCCTGCCTCTGTCTCGCGCATTGGGATTAAAGGTGTGTGCCATACCCAACTCACCCAACTACTCTCTTTCTATTTCATTTTAAGGGCTTTATCCTTTTTTTTCTCTCCCAAGTCTATTTTTTTTTTGGTTTTTCGAGACAGGGTTTCTCTGTGGTTTTGGAGCCTGTCCTGGAACTAGTTCTGTAGACCAGGCTGGTCTCGAACTCACAGAGATCCGCCTGCCTCTGCCTCCCAAGTGCTGGGATTAAAGGTGTGTGCCACCACCGCCCCGGCTCTACATATATTTTTAAATGTACTACAAACCATTTTGAGGTTTCTTTTGTCTGAATCAGTCCCTTTGTGTATCTGTAATCCTTTTTTCACCAGGATAGCTTCTTAAAATGCTCAGTGTTTCTTAAAATCCGGAGGTGCACCATTGCTAGGGCAAACAAGGAACCTGCCTGCTTGCTCGGCCCAGTACAACAGGGTGGAACAAACAGTAGCTTTTGATACAGAAGAGCAGGATGGGATCTAGATGTTTTAGCAGAGCTCATTTTGATTAGAATATTGAATCTGAGAACTAAGACCTAAGCTTTCCCCTCAGGGAAAGAAAGACCCCACATAAGGACTGACCGGAACCACTCTTTACTAAAGATGGGGGCAGCCTAAGGGCTTAATTACTGCTCAGACACTGGAACTGGTATTTTATGACAGCAATGTGACGTACTCTCACCCATCAGAAAAGCTTTCTGGTCTTTTGATTAATATGATTTTAAGAAGATTGTTATATTGTGGGTTTAACATGTGAAATTGTGGATTTTTTGTTAATTTAATATGTTAAATTGTGGATTTATTGTTAATCTCGTTCTAGAATTATGGTATTGACCTGATAATGTTTGTAACTGCTTATAAGATGTTGAGAAACGTTTGACACACCCTGTACTATTTAGACTTAATGCATGTGTTAAGAATTCTAGAATTTGATACAATGTAAAAATTTAAGAGGTGCTCTAGACAAGCTGAAGAAACATTTTCAACTCAGGCGACCATCTTCTCCTTGAAATAGGAGACTATAGTGGTTAGGAGCATGATTATTCCTAAAACATTATGATCTCTCCTGACAAGAAAGTATGGCTCCAAGACACAGAGCTCAAAGCTATTTCTCTCCTTTAACCTCTTTTGTTCCACAGAAGACAGCAGTCAGAGACAGGTTTGAAGCTTCTTCTCCCCAGATGCTTAAGAGAGGAGCTCACATGAATGGAATGCCGGTTCCAATGATTGGTGAACTTGAGTAAATGAAGGAGTCTTTGATTAAGGCAGATGTGATCATCTGTCCTGCTGCAGAAGAACAGGTTTTATTATAATTATTAAGAGAGTGGATTGTAGGGCCATATTATACAGACCCATATTTCTACATTGTATGGCGGTCAGAATTTCAGGCCACATCTCTATTAATCTTTATCACTACGAGGTCGTGGCCTACCAACAAAGTTCCAGCATTTCTGACTCTGGTGGTGGCTCCATAGCATCTTTCTGACTCCACCCTTCTTTCTCCCAGCATTCAGTCCAGTGCTCCCTGCCTACCTAAGTCCTGCCCTATCAACAGGCCAAGGCATTTTCTCTATTCATTGATGGCAATTACAGCATACAGAGGGGACACCCACATCACCCAGATCTTCATCTTCATACAGCAGAGCTGTGGGGAGACTTTTCTCTGCTGGGCCCACTGCAGGAGGCATGCTTGTTCTTCCTCCAGATGGGGCCTGAGGTAGAGGTCAGCTATGACCTTCAGGCGCCTCCTCAGTGCACATCTGGGCAGGACTGTCACTACTTGCTTCTCTTCCACAGTCTCTGCTGTGCAGTCCCATCCCTCTGTTCCAGTCCATATTCTCCAGAATTCATAGCGCACTTGCCACAGGTTGAGCACTTGAAGTTTCTCCCTCCTGTGGGTAAAACTTCTGACGTATCAGCAGAGCACCTCAGACAGAAATCTTCAGACTGAAAGGGCGATCCTGTCTCCAGGAATCCTCAGACTGAGTGTGCTGAATGCTGTCTCCTCCTGCATTATAGTCCTCTCTCTGCCCAACTGGATCACTTCCTGTCTCTACCTGCCTAGTGCTGAGATTGAAGGTGTGAGCCACCATCTGGATCAAGCAGCCATGAATGACTTTGAACTCATATTCTCCCTAGCACTGGGATTAAAGGTGCTACCACTGCTACCAGTGAAATCATTGCAAACAGTCTGTAGGATTAAAAGGCTAGAGATTGAATCAGCCAATCAAACTGCAGCTTGGGTTGGAAGGTGGGACTGAAATAGGGTGGGAAGGTGAGCAGAAGGGTATATAAAAAGTTCTGCAGGCCACTGAAGACACTCAGAGACCCGAGCCTGGAGGAACTGCCTGGCTCAGCTGGGATAGGGAGATGTCCTGATGTCAGTGCCCAGAAATGGTGAGTAATTGTCCTTCTTTGTGCCTTACAGTTTGATATAGGGACCTTCAGACCCAAGAAGGGACAGAATATTGGAGCCAGTGGGTTCGATTCTAGATGAAGTTTTACCTTCATCTCAGATGTCAATCTATGATAGCTTATTGGTTTCATTATGGTTGATATTGTTTTGAGACAAGGGTTTCCAACTTTCTTCAAGCTCTCCTAGAACTGGGATCTGTAGTTCTGGCTAGGCTGGAAATCAAGATCATCCCGACTCACTCTCTCATACTGATACATTCAAATGAGTTTTTTCAAATTTTGTGGAACAAGGGCTCACGTAGACTTGTAGACCACATGTCCTTGGTATGGGGTTTGCCTGTGGTGAGGGGTTGATGCTGGCCTGAATAAAGATTTTCAGAGGATTGTTGTATTCCAGAGGCCATTTTGGGAAGAACAAGGCTACTTCAATAAATAAAAGCAAACAAAGAGAATTCAAGCCCTTCAGTCCCATCAGCAAACATGGACCACACAAAACCATGTTGGTACTGGGATAAGAAGGACTTGGCTCGTACACCCTCACAACTTGAAGGACTTGATGCAGCCACTGAGGCCCAGTACCGCCGAGAGGGGGTTTGCTTCATCTTTGATGTGGGCGCACATCTGGGCTTACCCTATGACACCAAAGCAACAGGAATCACTTATTTTCATCGATTCTATATGTTTCACTCCTTCAAGCGATTCCCACGCCATGTAACAGGAGCTGCCTGTCTCTTTCTGGCTGGGAAAGTAGAGGAGACGCCAAAAAAATGTAACGATATCATCAAAGCAGCTCATAGCTTATTAAACGATGTCCAGTGTGGTGAGTTTGGAGATGAACCTGTGAAAGAAGTCTTGTTGCTGGAGAAGATCTTACTACAGACCATACAGTTTGATTTAGAAGTAAAGCATCCATACCAGTACTTACTCAGCTATGCAAAGGAGCTCAAAGGTAATAAAGAAAAAATCCAGAAGTTGGTTCAAATGGCATGGACCTTTGTAAATGACAGTCTCTGTACCACCCTGTCACTGCAGTGGGAGCCAGAGATCATAGCTGTAGCGGTAATGTATCTTGCGGAACATTTGCGCAAATTTAAAATTCAAGAGATGACCTCCACGCCCATGTACAAAAGGTGGTGGGAACAGTTTGTTGAAGATCTCTCCGTTGACATTCTGGAAGACATCGGCCACCAGATCCTGGATCTTTACACACAAACGAAAGAACAGAGGCCTCATCATGCCCTTCCTCAGCTGCAGCAGCCCCAATCTCCTCATCCTGCGCAAGTCCCGCAGTCACACCCATCGCAAGGCTCCGAGGCAGCACAGCCAGAGCAGGACCAGCAGCAGCACCAGGAGCAAGCACAGCAGGCCAAGGAACTGCCTCCACAGCCTAGTCCTCCAAGACAAGCTGAACACGCCATGGTGGATTATCCCGAGGATGAAGCCACAGCACCACCACCTAAAATTCCCAGACTTGAGACCACTCCCTTACCATTGCCTCCAGACTGGAAGCCTCCCAGTGCTCTGGCCTCAGGTGAAGCTGATGCAAGTGGCCCAGTGGCAGCAAGTAACCTCCCTGAAGTCCAGATTCCTCCTCCAGCCAACCAGGCCCCTGTGCACCAACCACCATCATTGGGGCCTCCACCCTCAGTGTCCTACAGCTACGTGACTGGGATGTCTAGCACCAGCTCTTACATGCCTGCAGAGGGCTACCAGAACCTGCAATCCATGACGATGACCAATGGTTCCTCCTACGGTGCCCGGCACCCAGCCTATGGCCCACCTGCTCACCTTCCTTATTGGCCAAATGTCTACTCCACCAACCCAGCTCCACCTCCTGTTCTTCCACCCCCAGCTTCTTTTCTCCCACCCACCATTCCTCCCCCTATCCCAGGCTACCCTCCGTATCTCCCTCCCAACAACACCAATTTCCCACTGCCACCTCCATGCAGGCCACCCATTCACGTAGCCCCTCCTCACCTTCTTCAAGGTTTGGGTTTGCCACCAGTCAGCTACCTACCTCCTGCTATTCCCCCTGAGGGGCAGCGCGCTGTTACCACACTTTTCCCCCCTCCTGGCATGCCGCCTGTCAGGGGGATAGGATGGGCAACCTGGATGAGATAACAGGAAGTCCCTTTCTTTTGTGTTTATTTTAACCCTGGTATACCATTATGACCGACTCATCAACAATACAATGTAAAAGACAGGACTTGGAAGGCCCGCTCAGTTTCTAACTTTGAGAAGGCTGTCTGAAGATGGAGAGTACTGGAAACATGAACAGGAGGCTCAGCATCCTCTCCTGTGCACGCAGCTGCCTTTCACTCTCACCTCACTGCACCTGCCATTTGCAACAGGTGTCCTCTTCTTCTGGGAGGGCGAGAGGGAAAAGGTGTCACCTCAGTGTAAAAATAGAGAATGACAATAACGTGTTTTTAGATAGATGAAAGTAAATTCTCTTATATGCTAAGCCGTGGTGTCTCCATGAAAAAACAGTATAATAAAAAATGAGTTTTCCAATTGACTTGAAGAATCCATTGAGACACCTCCATTTGTCTCTGTAAGTGTATAGCATATGTGTATAGTATCCTCAGAGGCCCAAAGAGGGTATCAGTCCCCTAGGATTTTGTTGTTGTTGTTTTGCTTTGTTTTGTTTTTCAACACAGGTTTCTCTGTGTAGCTTCGGAATCAGTCACGAAACTAGCTCTATCAACTAGTTTGGCTTAAACTCATGGAGATCCACCTGCCTCTGCCTTCCAAGTGCTGAGATTAAAGGCATGTGATTAAAGGCATGATATTAAAACCATGTGACCAGTTCCATAGTCTTATCTGTGGCTGTGGGCCACCTGAAATGGGTGCTGGGAACATAACCTGGGTCCTCTGGATAAGCAATAAACACTCTTAACCACTGGTCTACTTCTCTAGGTCCCAAGGCAGAGAGTTCTATAGTTTTTTCATATGGAGAATGCTAGGGAATTTCTTTACTAATGAACCTCAGCTTCAAACCACCAACTACATTATTCAGATTCCAAGAACTAGGATTTCTGCCTGCAGATTGTTTTGTGGCTCACACCTGTACTTAGGATGCTGAAGCAAGAAGGCAGAAATGAGTTCCTGTCTGGCCTGTACTTACACAGTGAGTTCCAGGTGACAGGTTGTGGTAGTTTGAGTGGAATTGACACCATGATCTCATAAAGAGTGACACTGTTATCCAGCAGGGCTTTGTTTGAATATGTATGGCCTCATGGTAAGAAGTATGTCACAGTGGGGGAAGCTTTGAGGTCCATGCTCAAGCTTCCCTCAGTGTGACCCTTAGACTGTTTCTTGTTTCTTGCAAGATAGAGGACTCTCAGCTACTTCTCCAGCATATCTTCTCCATGTCTGCCTGCATGCCACCATGTTCCCTGCCCTGAGGATAAGAAACTGAACCTCTAAAACTATAGCAAGCCACCCCAGTTGAATGTTTTTATTTATAAGGGTTGCTCTGGTCATGGTGTCTCTTAAGAGGAATAAAAACCTTAAGATTCCTATTGTGTCCGTGTAGGCACAGCAATGAGAGTTCAAGGTCACTGGGAGGTGGTAGCACACACCTTTAATTCCAGCACTGGGGAGCCAGAAGCAGGCAGATCTCTGAGAGCTCGAGGCCAGCCTGTTCTACAGAGAAAGTGCCAGGAAAGATGCCAATGCTACACAGAAAAACCCTGTCTGTGGAAAAAAATTCAAGGTTACCCACAGCTACTGAGATTCTTTTTGACCTGATTTACAGCAACAATAAAAAGGGTACAAATACATTGGAAATAAAGCATATGTAATCCAGGACTTAAGAGACAGAGGCATGTTGAAGGGAGCTGCGGGCTGCATTCCTGGCACCCGGCTCCTGGCCATCTGGCTAGCTTATGCCCTGAAATAATTACACGGAAACTGTATTCTTTTAAACACTGCCTGGCCCATTATATCTAGCCTCTTCTGGCTAACTCTCATATCTTGCTTTAACCCATATCTAATAATCTGTGTAGCACCAGTCTTACCTGGAAAGATTCAGCATGTCTGACCTGGCGGCTTGCTCCATCGCTTCTCTCTGAGGCATCCTACCTCACTTCCTCTTCCTTCCAGCATTCTACACCCGCCTAAGGGTTGGCCTATCAAATGGGCCAAGGCAGTTTCTTTATTAACCAATGACCTTTCTCCATCATTTCCCCTTTTTCTGTTTAAACAAAAAAAGGAAACTTTAACTTTAACATAGCAAAATTACATATAACAAAACAGTTATAAAGCAAGAATTACAGTTACAATATTTACATCTACTTTATCTTTTATCATAACAAAGGAAAACAACTATAACTATCTATCCTTCAACTCCATCAAAGACTCCAGAAGGATATAATATTACCTAAGTAAATGAGAAGTAAGCAACTTAAAAATCTCTAGAAATCACAGAGACATCTCGCTGCCTGGACAGTCACCCAAAGTTCCTCTGTACCATTGGGGCATCCATCTTCAGCCTACAGGCCCATAGTATCCAGAGGCATTTCCATGAAGCAGGAAATTTCAAAGGCAGTTCAGTCACTATCTGCTGTGTCCTGCAGAATGTCTCGCAGACTCTTTCATGAATCAGGAACCAAGAAAGATCATCTCACCTTTAGGCAAGTTCAGCAGTCCTCTCTCTGTGGATTCTCTGTGTCCAGTTTTTGCAATAGTCTAGGCAAGAGCAGTTTCTTGCCCAAATGGCTATCAAACTCCATAAGGTGCCTCTTTGATGCCCATCTTCTTCTTGAAGTAGATTGTTGCTGCCAGGAGCAGACGTGTCTCATTGTCATGAAAAACCCTAAGTTATTAAAACATTTAAAATGCTATTTTCTGTATTCTTTGAAAGATATGAAGAATACCTATCTGAAATATATCTATGCACATCTAGAAAATCTAACTAACATGACTACAAGCTTGATATCCATTAACAACCTATAAACATTACATTTTTAAACTATACAATCACAATACCTTAATTAATACCAGAAATATATATATATACATATATACATATAACAAAATTGACCTAAATTTATATCAACAAAGCAAAACTTATAGCAATGTAAATTATCCATATCTATAACATATCCCCCTTTAAATGTAAAAGAACATTTATAAACATGGGTGCAGTTTTTTCTCTCCAAACTGCTTCCTGCTGAATTGGGGCACAGTTATTTAGGTCTTTCATGGTATAACCTGTGTGCTAGATTCATCTCAGTTGGCAGTTAAATGAAGTAATTTTCTGAAGGTGTTCACGGCAACCTCTCAGGAGGGCATGGTCTATCATACCATATTGAGATAGAAGCAATCCACAGGGTTTCATCTCTGTGAAAACAAAAGAAAAATCTCTTTTCCAGAGTATCATATCCTTAGATCCAAATTCTGAAGTCAAAGTATTTTCAAGATATCTATCATGGATTAGTTCAGCAGCATTTATAAACAAATATCTTTTAGCAGCTGTTGCTCCTTCCTCAGCATTCAAACAATTCAAATGGAGCATAATAGCATACAGTATCAAGATTCTCGTTGTATTTTCCATCTTTGTGTGGCTTTATTTTAACCTTTATTTCGTATATTTTTACTTTTATTTTTTGAGACAGGTTCTCTGTATCTTTGACCTGGAATAACTCTGTAGACCAGGCTGTCCTTGAACTCTCAGAGATCCCTCTGTCTCTGCCTCCCAGGCATTGGGATTAAAGGTGTGTGCTACCACACCTTGAAGTCACAGAGATCTGTCTGTCTCTGCCTTCTAGGCACTGGGATTAAAGGTGTGTGCTACCACACCTTGAAGTCACAGAGGTCAATCTACTTCTGCCTCCCAAGTGTTGGGATTAAAGGTGTGTATTACCACACCCAACTACTTTCTTTCTTCCTTTCTTTACTTTTAAGAACTTTAATTTTAGCCTGCATATATTTTTAACATACTGTAAATCATTTAAAGACTTTTTTTGTTTTTCTTTTTGAATCTCTCTTTACTGTATCTCTCTCTCTCTTTTTCTGATCACATGAGCCTTTAAATTACTGAGCAATATGGGTAGGATTAAAGCCGTGGCTTTGCCGGCTAGATCTAGGCCATTTCTTAGCTTTCCAGCCTCATAGCGGAGGTACTGGCTGTAGCCATTTTTATTGCCACAACTCTATGGTGTTTCAAGGTCCTTGCCAGCTAGCAAGCTGCAGCATTCTTCTCACACACCACAGTCAGTCGGACTGCCTGCCTGAAAGAGTCAGAGTTTGCTGTGGAAGGACAGCCCAGAAAGCTGGCATTTTAAAACAGCATAGCTTTTTTCCTGCTATGGCAGAAAACCGAAAAGCATGCGTTCATCTTTTCATCAACACCGTTTAAGTGTTTCGTGGCAGGACCTCTAAAAAGAGCTGGAGGGTTTTGCAGCTAAAGCTGAGTCAGGAAGCCTCTCTTAGATGAGAGCGCTTGTTTGCCTATAGCAAACAGAACAGACCTGAGAAATTGCTGCTACCAAGAAAACATGCTTTACTCCATTCTTTCCCAATCTTTCTCAGGCTTTCTGTGGATTCAGTTATCCACATCTGGGTGCCATTTGTAGTGAGGAACAGAGGGCTGCCTTCCTGCCTCCCAGCTCCCGGCTGCCTGGCTAGCTTATGCCCCAAAATAAGAACACACAAATTGTATTAATTTAAACACTGCCTGGCCCATTAGCTCTAGCCTCTTACTGGCTAACTCTCACATCTTGCTTAACCCATTTCTATTAATGTGTGTAGCACCACAAATGCATAGAGGAGTCAAGTCACATACCCAACTATCTCCATAATTGTTCCCAGTGACTGGCAGGCACCATACACCCACTAATCCTTCAAGTTAAAGAGAAAGATTTCCTCTATTAGCTGACCCTATTAGTTACCTGAGTAACTGTTCCATGTGGTTTCTCAGAAAGTAGACCCAATTTATGGATAGATGCTACAGACAGTTGAAGTTAGAGAACTGAGATTGAACTGGCTGACACATTTCTCTTCTGTGTCTGCTGTCCTGTTGCCAATTTCCAAGGTTTTCTTGTAGATGTGTGAGGGAGAGTTTGTGAAGACTTCTCATCTGGCCAAAACAGGGAGCTGTGTGGAAATAATCCCAC